CACAATTTGATAGTATTTTAAACCTGATATAAAAATTTCACCTTTCATCTTATATAATGATATTTGAAGGAAATATTGCATTGTGTATCACAGGGTCCGAAGAACTGATCGAACTAAACTTGTTTTCAATGTAATGTTTTACTGTAAAACAAGTTGATTCTGACACTATCATTAACTATTTTGCTGCGAAGAAAACTTACAATGCAAAAATTCCAAAGAGATAAAAGAATGACAGAAATATTAGTAATAGTAAAATACATTGAAGATGAGGTTAATAATGGTGGTGGTGGTAGTTACGTTAGTGGTAGTTGTGGGATAGAGGTGAAGTTTTGGCTGGAAAGGAGATTAGGTTAAAAACATTAGAATTAGATTTGGGAAAGTAAATTTTGAAAGAGAGAAAAATCGTGCCAAAAGTAATGAAAATGTAGATTATCAATATATATTTATATAAAGATGCTGAAGTGCATATGTAATGTGAAAAACAGAAAATTTCCATACGCTATGCAAAACAGTAACTGAATAGAATTTTATTAAGATACACGGTAGTGTGCCGTGCGGCCAAAACAACCAGCAAGACACACTGTGTATTATTCACAGGAGTGATAGTTTAGCGATCGTCCACTTTCTGTAGCTCGAACTGTGTTAATCCAAACTATCACATATTTTCAGGGGATGTGTTCTACCGGACCCTTATTTCACTTAACAAATTTCAAGGCAACATACGAGATATAAAATCTCCCCTAGCAACAGATACATTCGACAGGAATCGAGGTTTAAATTAGAATAGTAGAACGACAGAAGTAACAACGAACATTTGATGCGTGTGTGTATATACAGTAACAAACATTTAATTCATAAACTTTTTGTTTTGCGGACCATCATGCCCCAAGTTAAACAAAAAAAGACGTGGCCTGGCTAATACATGTTTGTTTGTTTGAAGCTAAGCACAAAGCTCCACAATAGGCTACCTGTGCTCTGCCCACCATGGGTATCGAAACCGGTTTCTAGGATTGTAAGTCCGCAGACATCCCGCTGTGCCACTGGAGGACAGCTAAATAATGAATGAATATTTGATGTAAAGTTCTTATCAATGCTATAAGTGCAGCTAACAGTTTGGTCGCCAATTTTGCTTTCATTCCTTTAAGTCGCACGCTCAATCATTTTTGGCCACACCTTTTTTTTTTCACACCTAAGGTGTTTTTGATTAGATATATGAATATTACAAGATCAAAGTTTTAGTTGCCAATAGCTGATTAACATTCATGACATGTACAAAAGGTATTTAAATAAGTAATTTATGCAAATTCATAAAAAAAGAATAATAACACATCAGCATATTAATACAGAAATTACAAAAGAAATAATAAAACACAAAAAGAACGACACGTTTCGATAGGCCAAGTTTGTCATTCTCAGGTGATGGAATAAAATCTTTTTTCAGCGTCTTCTGTATTTAGGTTTAAAACTGTGCAGAAATGTAATGTTCACTAACGGTAGTAGTGTGCAAAAACTAATTCATGAGCGAGAAATTTGAGGGTTTATTAGCATATTTAAAGTATTGTTTGGGTTAGAGAATCAGATTTTGTGTGACTTTCAAATTTCTTTAACGTTCTGCGAGACCTTTTAAAGTCGTTGCATTAGGTTTTCAGGTGTTCTTCTTTTGTTTAACTTAAATTTACGTGCACTTTTAGATTTAACTTTTGAACCTGAATATATAAGACTTTGAAAATAGTTTTACTCCGTCGTCACTTAAAAATGACAAAGTTGGTTTGTCGAAACGAGTCAATATTTTATGTTTTGTTATTCTTTAATCATTTTTGTTATTATACTGATGTATTATTAGAGTTAACAAATGTTCTACTGCAATCAAAGAAGAAAATTTGAGCAAACATCGTGAAAGAATGGTGTCTCGAAAGGGAAAGTGTAGAGCAGACAGCTCATCACAAATCCTTAACTGCTGTTCATCGTAAGTTGTGCTAACAAAACCGACTATGACAATTTTAATACCGTTGGATTGTATTAATTGATTTGTGTCTTAATATGACGTCGCTATTTGTCCCTGAGCTATTTGCTATATTAAAAGTACTCTTCTTAGAAACTGACATGCTCCAGGTTTTACACCCCTTGCTGGTTAGTTATATGAATATCCTTCCTTGGAAAGGACTGTAACTTATAAGCCTAATAACAGGGAATTGTCAGTGAAACAAATATACACGAACTAAACATGTCCTTAGCATACGAATAACCTTCCTATGAAGTACTGTACTTTCTATTTAAGAAGCAAGTTGTAGTAGTGCTTAATTCTCATATCTCCAATAAAATCTCAAGTTCTTTTAATAATTGGTACATCTCAAGTTCCTAGTTCCCCTTAAGTTTGTGAATTATCTGTCAGTCATACAAAAAAATCATGTCCAAAATCACTGTTTGGAACTCTATCATGCAAGCTGTAATCAAATTTAATAAATTTTTCAAAAAAATTATAAGTATCAAAATTAATAGCTGCTATCTCTAGTCTTATTCTTTATAATGTATAAACCAGTATCAAATATATACATCAAATCTGGCTTAACGGTTAGCGTGATGGGATGTGGGCTGAAACAAATAAGTCGCAACACGCTATTCTGTAGAGGAGGTGAGTTACAACAGTGACAGTCACTTTCACTATTCGACTAAGAGTAGCCGTGTTGGATGTGTGTACTGCTGACTGGTTGCCTTTCTTCTGGTCAGCAGTTCTAAATTAAAGATGGCTGTAATTTAACTTGGCGTTTTAACTTTGTTGTCGCATAATAAATACCAAAATTCATATGTATGTATATTTGGTAATATTAATTGTATATAAAAATAATAAATTGGGTCACATTGAATTATACCTAAAACATGTTAAATAGCATAAAGCGTGTACTTTTCTCTGAGTGAAAAAAAATCGAATACATTCTATCCATGGCCTCACTAACAAGGACTTCATGATAGATTTTGCTTGTTAAACTGTGATATAAATAGGAATTATAATTTATGTTAGATTTGTTTCTTAAAATAGTCGTCGTTACTGGTATGGATACAACTGTTAACATGGTTAGTGTCATGGTTTCTCACATTATTCATTGAAACAATTTAAGTTCAGGTTGTTTCATAGCGTTACATGAATCTATTCAATAAGCTTATTAAGCAGTAGAGATAGAGCATGACAAGCCAGATACTAGGTATCATAGTAGTTGTATGTATACATATAACTGTGTATGCACTGGTGGGGATCAAAGTATGCTTACTACGACCTTGTACAGAGTGACATTCAATATGGTATTATGCATTTATTGTCATATTTACCAACTTTTCATGTTACCCTACACTGCTAATTTCGAAACAGTTTGTGTTAAAGGTAGAAAATATACCAGATACAATACACAAGGATATTGCAAAAAACTTTAAATATGCATTTAGGAGGTTCTAGAAGCTATGCAAATGCAATTTGCAAACTGTAAGATGGACTAAAGAATTTTTATTCAGAGTCTGAATCAGACTAACGTCGTTATTTCACGAATATATCATTATATAAAATTTTGTAACAAATATGATTTGCTGTACAACAAACTTGTACTGTTTAGTAATAACTTGCCATATTTCATAAAGATATACTTCGTAAATTCGAAATTATAATCAATATTACATCTTCAATACGAGGTCGATCCAGTGAACCAATCTGTACATATCCATATAAATAAAGGTCTTAGACATACCTGAATAAATGATGGTTTGGTTTGTTTTGAATTTTCGCGCATGGCTACACGAGGACTATCTATGCTAGCCGTCCATAATTTAGCAGTAATAGATTAGAGGGAAGGCAGCTAGTCATCACCACCCAATGCCAACTCTTGGGCTACTCTTTTACCAACGAATAGTGGGAATGACCGTCACGTTATAACGCCCCCACGGCTGAAAGGGTGAGCATGTTTGGTGGGACGGGGATTCGAACCTGCAGATTACGAGTCAAGCTCCCTAACTACCTGGTCCTGTCAGGTCGTGCTTGAGATTGAGCCTCAGATTTTAAAAATTTAAATTTAGAAACTTACCTCTGATCCAAGGAGGAGGACAATAAGAAGAAATTCGTCCCGATGCTTTACAGTGGTATAAAGGTGTATATTTAAATACAAGTTTAATACAGACTATAAAACCATGCTTTACAATACAAAACTAGAAGTTATAGTAATTCCTCATCCAAATAAAATAAAAGCCACAATATATAAAAATTCAATGATAACACCCCCTTCATTAATACATTCGCAAGTGAAATTGGTATGTCATAAGCAATTAGTATAAAAGATACCATGTATTCAACAGGAACAGCACTTTACATGGCATATGAACTAAGTATCCTAGTTAGTGACACCAAGGTTTAAGCATAGCTACCAAAGTTAGAACTGCTGACTAAAGGAAAGGGCAACCAGTCAACATCACGCACTGCCTAAACAACTACTCTTGACGGAATAATGGAATTAACTATCGCAATTATAATGCCCTCGAAGCTGAAAGAACGTAATTTACTCGGTGACATATCGCGACCGAACTGTCTTCGACTTCACGGGATTTGGAGAGTTAGTATAACAGTTCATTATATCGTGAAATAACACGAATACAACAACGATTTTTGTCAACTTAAGTAACTTTCCTCATAATAATTTACAGGGAAGGTGTAAAAAAATCCAGACACACTTTGGCTTGATTTTAACGAATGTTACTTGATAACGATGAAAAGAACGTCATCTTTATAATTTTATAGATATTTTTACTCGTATAATGAAATCAAAATGCGTGCTAATTTTTGTATCCGAGTTTTATTTGTTATGCGAACACGCATATAAACTTGGCTTACCTTGCCATTTATTCAAAATTTATCAATTGAATACGATATATAACTTGAATACAAATTACACTAGAGGACCTATTGAAGTACCTAGGATTAATGTTACAATGGCGACCCCGGTAGGAGAAGAAGTTCATCTGACCTCGTACCAGGTTTGAATGAAAGTTTTTAAATAATTAAAGTCAGTAAACAGATTTTACTATTTATTAGTTACATATTTTAATAACACTTGTTATTTAAAGCCATCCAAGTAATGAGCTGTTGCTAGTGGTAGGGCAAATAGGATTTTATTTTTTAAGTTGTAACTTCTATTTCTAATGTAATTTGTAAAATGTAACTTGTATCTACAGAAACATTTTACGTAAAATATGAATACAGATTACAAGTCTAAAGATATTATATTTTGCATTGGTTAGGCCACATTTGGAGTATTGTGTTTCGTCTTGAGATCCTTACTTCAGAAACTGAGATTGAGAAAGGAAACTGTTGGAAAATGTTTATACTATATATTTATTTCAATAATTTAATTCTTCAATATGAAACTGATATAAAACAATTCCCAGTTATGATCCTATTAGTAGTACTAGTAGCTGAGCTTCTATAATTTAAAGAAGCCCAGCTACTACTACTACTACTAGGATCATAACTGGGAATCGTTTTATATCAGTTTCGTATTGAAGAATTAAATTATTAAAAAAAAAAGGCTATTGGAAAAATAAGGCATGGAATGTGGCATTTACTTTATTACTTGTATCTCCATAAAGCAAAAAGTTTACTTTTTACAAATGGATAGTTCAGCTTGGAGATGTATAGTCTAAGTGAGAAATTCCATGGAAAGTCACAATGGTTTACATGGGTAGAAGAAAATGTAGAAATGGGTAATTTGGTCTGAAGAAGTGTCCTGCAATACAGAAAGTGAAGTTTAGGTTTTATCTATATATTTACTGCAAAAAGTAAGACATTAAAACTTATATTAAATTTAAACTATAGATTCTTTTAATGCCAAGTTTATTTCTATACACTAAATTTTAAATGTAACTCTTCAAATGTTGTGACAAGAGCACTTTGACATTTTACAGAGTTACATTTACAATTTAATTATATTAATTTATTATCAATGTATAAAAATAAACTTGGCATTAAAACATGATCTATAGTTTAAATTTAATATTATATAAAGTAATTTGATCTAAGTAATTTTTATAGAAGTAATTACCTCTTTTCACTTGTAATCAGTATGTTATAAATATATGACCCATTATATTGTACCCTATGGAGTTTTTCATCCATTTTCATTAATTATTTTATTTCTGGAGCCTGGGGAAAATGAACTGATAATTAATTATTTAATTTTTATCTGCCAGATCATCTGGGAATATTGACTGACAGGATTATAGCAACTCTTAATGTTCTCCACAGTATAACATTACAATGCATATATGAGAAATTTCAGTGTATTTGATTTAAATGCTTCCAATTATAACAAAATTCAATTACTGTTGTGACAAATATTTGCTTTTTTACCATCTGTAGTTGACTTTAATAAAATTGTATATGAAAAACAATAAGACTGAATTTGATTGTTTTCTGTCAAGGTTATTTTATGTGTGAAAGAATGCTTCTATTCCCTTGTAATAATATATAGTGATAACAAAAACATAAGTTCTTATAGTTCCATGCCTTCAATTATTCGTGGGTTTTAGTGCCAAGGAGTGTTAGGTGTGTTTTTATTTTTATTTGGGTAATTTTTTTTTGTTTTACATTCCTTTAGATGAATGAAACCCCTCAGACCCAGCCAGTCCTTAATTTGTTTTGGTTTTAAGATTTTGTCGATAGAGGTGTAGGTGAGTCATCTATTTTACATTTCTATTACAGATGATTTTCTCCTGAATTCTATGGATTTGGGGTTTATTATTTCCCAAATGCCCCAGCCAGGTGCCCTGGAAATATTATGACATGTTCCAGGATGTACCTTATATGAATTCACAGAATACTCCAGGGTAAAATGGTGCCTCAAGGCATGGCATAATGGGTCATATCCTAAAAAAAACAGGCAAAAATTGTACTAGCTTTAATACAAGCAACAAAGAATGCCTCTATGGCTTCAGTGATTTATATGCCATTGTACAATGTTATTGAGTGGGCTTCCATCCATATTAAATGTGATCCAAATATTTCATTATCATGTGCTTACTTCCTATACGATATTGTACCTCTTCTCACATAACAGCTTTTCTTGACTTCTACTGCCTGCTACATGTGCAAATTTTCACTCGCCACTAGCCTTGATACTTCCACCTACTCTCACATGTTTTCACATGAGGCAGCTGCATAATAGCATGAAAATGAGCATGCGACAGCCCTCCACCAATAGGTATGTGACTCAAGTCCTAGCATAGCTAACTCCCTCTATGCAGCTTAACTCAACTTCACTTCTCAGTTGGCACTCATGATGTTTAGATGTGTTTTTCACTTGAGCTTACTCATGGAATTTCAATCAGTTACTTGTTTTTTTATACAACTCTTTTTCTTATTTTTTGTTACACTTCAGTCCTCCAACTTTACATGTCTTTAATCTTTTTTTTTTAGCTCCCTTTGTGAAGTTTTTATTATTTCCACTCATAGTTATCATGAATTCAGAGTATAATGTTACTATTACTACCACCACTGGTCCTCCAGCAGTTACCTTTACCTAGTCTACATTGGCTTTGGTTCCACAGTTATCGGCAGAAGACATTACAGCCTTGGCTCACTGGGAGTTAGATACTTTCATGCAGGTTTCAGAGTTGCCTGAAGATCATCCTGTCATGCCTTGTTCAGGGGTACCTTAACAAGAGGACAATGATTTTGACAGCCTGTTTCCTCTCCCATCCTATACCACACAGTCATGTTTAGCTCCAGTGGGTGCACCCAGGCCTCCTCCTTTCTTGGAGTTGATCCACCAGCTTTATGTTTTGTCCTTGTTTCCCATTTTCCTTGATTCCTCTCTTTCTATTTTAAGTGAGACATCTTTGGTTGAATAATTTGTTCTCCCCTCCTCCCCTCACCAGATATTGGGGTTCATGCCAATAGCTTTGTGGACCAATTACATTCTGAGGCCAGTATGCCTCAATCCTCACGTAATATGGAAGCCCATGCTTTCGTTTATCATTGGTCTGAGTTTCCTTTTTTTTTGTACTCACAGCAGTAGGATTCTCTTCTACCTCTGTAAGGTTTGGATCCCAATACTTCAGTCACATTTTCACAGCTTCAGGTTTCCCATATCCACCTCACATGTAGAGTCGTCAACTTTTTGAAGACCATAGATAGGCCTAATTAAAATGTTTTTAACTGTGTACCAGTTTAACGTTGAATATTATTTATGATTTTAACTTTATACACAAGTGCCAAAATACTATAAGCCAGTTTTGTTATTAGTGATTTAGGTTTGTTTCTAAAGCTCCAGTATTCTATTTCATCTTGGATACCAGTACGTACGATCTGGAGGAGGCTTTAATTATTATTCAGATGGATATAAATACCAAAATTAACATAAATGTAGCTGTACCTTTGTATTAGATTTTTTTTTTATGTTAAACAGCATTTTGGACTTTTATGAATTTTTCATGAATCATTTATAAAATAACTTTTTAGTAAACTAACACATGCCACATGAGCCAACCTGGTATCTTGATGTAGATTTAAAAACATGAGTCATTCCAGAGAGGTTTGGGTTTTTTTTGATTAGACAAAAATAAATATTTGGCACTATTTTCAAGATTTAGATCACTGGACCAAACCCTTGACCTGACCCAAGACCATGTGAGCCAACATGGAGAAGTTAACATGAAAATGTAAAGTAAAACAATGTAGCAATGAAACACACTTGGAATGTTTCAGATTTGATTGTAATTGTGACAGTTTAAGTGTAACAATTAACCTAAACCATCAGATGAGGGAAGCACTTATTCTAAGATATCCCAATCGATATGACATATGAACTGCATCAGAGATTAATTACTGCATTGACAGTGAAACATAAAACAATGGGCAGAATAGTATCATTATCCTCAAGAAGGGTGATTGGAATCATATATAAGAAAACATTAGTTTCAATATTGTGTAAAACTAATGGCACAGTAAAGCCCAAAAATGCAGTGTTGAAGCAAAGGCACAATGCATTACAAGATGATATCCCTAGTGATTCTCATATTAAAAATGCCATTTCTGCAATTAAGATTAAATATAAGAGGGATGGTATAATGTTCAGTATGGTATCACTATAGTACATATATATTTCATCATGTCATGTTTTCATTAATATATATATGAAGTTGTTTTTATGAAGTTGTGGAAAGCTTCATTCATCAAAATATTTTGAAATAACCCTAAATTACCGGTTTCCAAAATGACTTCTTTGTTGACCATCCTATGCTCCGTACTAAAATATGCAGGACTGGCTCTTGTGGAAGATGTTAAAACAGAATATCAGTGTCATGTTGTTAAAAAAATGGATGATGATGATACTAAAAAATTACATTATAAATCTCTATCTTATCAAAGTTACCATTAAAAAATACTACTGTTTGTAAGCTGATTTCTCCTACTATTCCAGATAGATGAATCAAACAGTAATAATGCCTCACCACCACCTTATTCACAAATACCAGGAACAGTGCCTATACATCAAGGAAGAGGGTCAGGCCCACCACCCTCCTATGATGATGTTGTTAACCCTAATGGTAAGACACTTTTGTTGTAACAATTATTATACTTTCTTAGTTTTTACTTGGATCTTTGTACATTTTAATTAAGTCCAATTTGGAATTATGAACTTAAACAATGTTTATAGTGATTCTAACGAGTTTTTTTTCTTCTCATAACCAGAAACTCTGAAGCTGGTAGGTTTTAAATGTTTAGTAGCAAGTACTGCTACCAGTTTATTCCTTAGTAATCTTTTCAAATGTAGAGAATGCTCTCCAAAACATTTTAATGTTTTTCTTCACTATTTTTCCAAAATTAAACTAGTTTCAAAGAATATTATCTCTTCTCAGTAATCCTAGGATTAACTGTACCAAAAATAAATCAAACTCTATTTGAAGTGATGAATTTAAGTCATTTTAATGGTGGTTTTGATGCATTTCTTTCTCTTACCTAGATACTCTTTTATAATGCTAAACTCTGAAAGTCTAGCAGTGATTTTTTCAAAATTTCTTAATGTTTTCTCTCATTAATTCTAAGGGAGAAAGAAAATCATTTTACACATTTGATCCATCTTTTTATTTTATTTCACTCCTTAGTATTAGATCTGTTTCTGAAAGTACACTTGTAAGCCTATGCTAAGCAAATATAAACAAAGATCAAACATTACTACAAGTGTGTAAATTAGTTCATATTATTTGTATTTTCAATGTTTTTATTTCACCAGGTTTATTGACAAATTATACCATTCTCAGAAATGGTCTATTCCAGAAGTGAATTTAAAAATTAATGAAGCTTTAAATGATTTTTTTGTTGCTTAATTATTGCTGAAGAAAACATAAAAGCCCTCATAATATGCTGTGCAGTGATTTATGTTTAAATATCCAAGTTTTGAAGTTGTGTGAAAAACTGTGTGTTGAGAGAGAAAACAAAAATATACCAAATAGTATTAGTATGTGATACTTTTATAATTGTGAAGTTAATACAGGTAGATGTCTTTAATCAACAATCCATTTGTTTAGTTTTAAGCACCATTCAAGTATAGTTAGTTTTCAAAATAAAATATTATCTTTCAAATTAACTTCTTGAATATTTGTTTTTAACATGAATCTCTGAATCAATCAGATAAGTCCACATACAGTATTACACCTCCAGAAAGCACACATTTGATATCTCCTCAGCTCTCTTGTATATTTTATGGAATATGCTTTATCATGTGAGGAATCCAACAGTGTTCATCAACTCAAAAACTGTAAAGAACTGAAAAAGATATATTGAATTTTATTTTTGGTACATGAAGACAAATTCTGTTCAATTTTGCCTGAGGTTATCTGTAGAGGTTCTCATGAAGCCAGTAATCACCATGAGCTTTTAGGACAACCAACAGATTTTTTATCAAGATTGCATATGTCTCAGAGGAATTATGTCAGAAGCATCTGATTCAAAGCATACTTGGAAGTGTCAGATAGTAAAATGCTTGATATGTTATCAGTAAAGCAGATGTGGATGTGATTACGTTGGAATGTCAGTTGTAGAGAAAACAAGCTGTGAAAGAAGCCATGGAAGGATTTCCATTGGTGCTAATAAAAAATGCCAAATGGCCAAAGGGAAGTATGCATCTATAGACCAGGTATTTTCACAGAATTATAAAGAAGTGGACAGCCACAGCCAAAGTGGTGAAAGTAGTTGATTTTGGAGAGAGAAAAACAACACTATATCCATAGAAAAAGCCACAGCAAAATATTCCTCAGACCAAGTCCTACTGATCTCTATATTGTATTCAAACTTTTCTGGATTTCCACATTTCATGTGGTACCTACTTTGTTACTAAAAATTAAACAACTTGATTGACTCGAAGATTCATTAAATGTAATATTATTTAAAAAAGAACAGTTTGTACAGATAAATGAATAATTTGATTAAATATTGTAGTATTTAAAACTTAATTACAAAAATGAATATTTATATGTGGCAGCTTCATTAGAATGGGTGTGATATATTATGAAGACTTAAAGAAAACAAGCATATCAAAATTTAATTAATAACTCAGTAACTTTCTACAAAATTTAATGTAATTGACATATAGGCATTATATTCATTCATCTATGATCTTATAAAATCTATTCTAATGACAAGTTGCATTATAGTTCACAACCTTTATATATATAATTTTTTATTTTTAGGAGACAACTTTTGGTTGTTGTCAGATTACTTGTCACAAGTAATCAAAAGAACAGATGAGACTGATGAAAAAAAAAATCATTTATCCTGCAATGTATACTATTATGTCTGTGTCTGAAAAAGTTTGTCTTTGTTGATGGGCACTTATTTTTATGCTATAATTAAATGTTTATATGTTTCAAGTGTATTATTATGAAACTATAGCAAATGTGTTGATACACTTGCATGTAGAATGTATGTTTTAATTTCATGATGCATTATATGTAACTCTTGAATAATTTTTTCCATGATCAAGATCTTCCTAAGGAGAAGCTAAAATCTTAAAATTTTTGTTTATGAAGAAATTGTACAAAACATTTATAGGAATTTAAAAAAAAAGAAAACTTAATTTTGATATATTTAGCCCAGTTCAAACTCTAGAAAATGTAGACAGTTAAACTGTGTTAATTTATGTCACTACTAAGTAATTCTAACTTCACAATTTGTAGCTCCTCCACCCACCTATCAATCTTTGTTTGGTCAAGTTCGAGAAGCAAGGAAGAACTCAAGTGGAGTTGTGGACTTTATTAGGAAGGTTATAGTGCTCATATTAGGAACACGTAAGACTTTTACACACTTTATGCACCTAAAAAGATAAACTTTGTATTATCTCTTGGTTGTTTTGAGTCTAAATTTGAGGAAACACGAAGAAAAAGTCTAAATGATAAAAAAACAACCTTTCACTTATGAAAAAGTATTTAATTTATTTATATGTTAGATATTTAATTTTTTCTCTTATATTTTAATACCAGAAGGCAGTAAAATTCCACTAGCCTAACACTACTAAATTTTGAGTTTGTTCTGTAGTGTAATATCCCAGTGCTAATGCTGTTCTGTTTGCATAATATCTGCATGTGTTGAAAATCCTCCTCTACATTTAATTATTCAAATTTACAAAAATTACAACTGTTGTTATTTTTTTCTTTAAGTTGTGAAATATTTACTTTGAATGCAATGTTTTATCGGAGATGAAACAGCTGTATTTGAGTAGAATTAATTAGACTTGTGCAGTCTTTTTCGTAGGTGTGACAGAAAAGAATGAAGTTTCAAATGTTGGACCACCTTGTAGTTGTTTCAACTTCTATGTATATGTATAAGTAGACTGGAAAACTTGTTCATGGATTTTAAACTTTATATTCTGAATATAACTTAAGTATGTCAGGAATACCAGACTGTCACATGTAGACTGGTTAAACTGTTTATTTATTTTACATTTACATCACACATGCTGTAGTAGATCAAATAATTTTTAGTTTTGAATATAGATATGTATATATATTTTCAATGTATATTAGTTTAGTCATTATACTTAAAAAAATTGTAGAGCTAGTAGAATTTCATTTTGGTATAGCTCATTTCTCATACCTATTAACCTGATGCTAGTACATAAAGAAAACTTTGCACATCTACATTAAAACTTGATAAGTTTTGGTCACATTTATTGTGTAACATGACATTAGCATTTGTGTCATATCAATTTTACAGGTGTATAGTTGATTAGCATGATGAACTTGTTACCTTATTTATCCAGCTGATAAGTCAGACTCAGAACAAAGCATTTTAAATTGATGTTATTGAATGATAGTATTGAATGTACAAGTAGAAATTAACATTTATCTTTATTTCTATATTAAAAATATGGAAACTTGGAAATGTAATTACATATTGAGTAACTTATTTAGGCTCATAAGATTTAATTATTATTTATATCACAATCCTGTGAAGAGAATATTTTTGATAAGGGAAAATGATTTATTGTACACAGTACACACTTTTATATTTCAATTATTTTTTAATCTAAATATATTATACTCCAGAATTTAAGTATTAGCCTATACTATCTTAACATTTCCTATAGCCCATATTGTTTAATTTAATTAGCCATTTCCTGAGTAATGTGTAACTTATTATGCAAGTTTTATCATTCATAAAAAGCCATAACAAACATTAGAATAATATTGTAGCTCTGACATAAAGCTATTGTGTAGTAGATATAAAATGATTAAGACTTGCATAGTACCAACAGAAGAATCCAAATGACTGAATGTCTTTTGTAGATATGCAGGTTTTCAGAAATTAAGGCTGCTAAAGCAAACTCTTGTTACCATGACAAATGTGTCAGAATTGAAGACTTTTATTTTAACTAGGTAAATGAACTGCATGAATGTTGCATACTTTATGCTTTGGACTTAAGTGGAAGCATATATAATCTAAATTTATAAAACAACTCATTATCTGTAAAGAATTTTTATAGATATGAAAGTTGAATGGATAAATCATAATTTCAAGAAGAGTATTAACAGTTGTATACTTAACAGTTTACAAATTTATATTTTCACACTTGCACTTTTGGTCTTCTGTATTAATAGACTTCTTTGAAGTCACCTTGCACAACTCTTAACATTTCAATGTGCTATTCTGTCTGTCTATTGCAGATTATAATGACATGTTTTTTAACCATTTCTTTGTAGTTGGATGCACAGTGGTTATTGGAATAACTGTTGTTATTCCTTTCTCAATGATTATCATTGGTAAGCATATTATATTTCAATAACTTCATTGGGAAACATTTGTCAAAAGTGTGATTGTCATATAACTTGTCTTTTTATCATTATAATGATGTTTAAGTCACATGAAGATAAAAATGTATTACCGATTTCTTTACTTTGAGTAAATATTACAAAAAGCATTCATATTTGTTTATAATACAATCTCATTTCCGATATGGTACATCACCTCTGCTCACATGTATAGCTATTCTCGTTCAGTGCTTCCTTCTATGTGCAAAAATGTTTTTACATGCCACAAGTCTTGAACTCCCACATATCCCATGATCAACATGGTTCAGTCATTATATAACAACCATTGTGACACATGTGACTACCTCTAATCAATGCTACAGAACTATCACTTCTTATTAGGCAGTGATTAAGTGCAGACATTTTCCAATTGTGCTCTTTTTATGTGTTCATTTCATTTTTTTGCAAAGTAGTGATTTACTTGATTTATTCATTTGCTACAGTTAGTTTTCTCTGTAGTAATTTGCCACATTAACCAACTTTTTATTTATTAACTTTTTTTTCTTTCTCATATTCAATGGTTTAAGATGAATTCCGAAGTTTGTGTTTTTACAACTTCTAATATTATTACCGCTACTTTATGTACCATTACTGGCTTCAGGTCTGGGGTTCTTGACTGAGGATTTTTTGGTTTTCATTCATTGGGAGATTGATTGTTATATATGATGTAATTTTTCTCCCCACCATGTTCGGGTTCTTCTTGCTTTGTCTGAACCTGTTCATGGCGAGTAGGTTTTCCTTTTTGTTTTGTTTTTCCTACTCCTTAATATGTTGTGCCTTCCAATGCATATCCACGAGACCTACTAGACCTTTCTCTGCCTTTTTGGATATGGTTTCTCTGGTGTGTTCCATTTTTGCTGTTTTCATATGATACTATTCCTCCTTTTTTTACATGACACCCTTCATTAAGGTCCCTTGCTTTCCCTCCTTCCCCTGACATCCAGATTCATGCTGAGCATTTTGTTTTTCAGTTGAGGACTGGTTTTAGCATGATTTGTCCTATATGAACTTCTGATCTTTATGCTTTAAGCGTCAACAAGCTGATTGACTATTTCTTGACTTACAACTGTGGAAGTCAATTTGCCAGTATTGGGGGCTGTTCCTGATAATGCTATCCATTTCTCCCACATCCATTTTCCCACCTTTGTCTTACTCTTACAGCTTTTTTGTGAGGCACTCCACCAATCCCCTGAGGGTTTTTTGAGGGGATACACTTTCCCCCCCTTCCTCCTCCTTGGTGCTATTGCCCTCTTCAGCCCTATTCTTTCACATGTGTTTTTGTTGCTGTTGAGATCGTATTGGGAAGGATGCTGTCTTTTCACAGGTTTTTCTATCTTCCCTTTATCTTCTTGACTTCCGGATGACTATTTTTGGAGATTTTCCAGAATCATTGGAATCGTGTGGATTCTGTGAGTCCACATTTGATCATTTAGTCTTTGGTTCCTCGTTTTTCTCATTCTGATACCACGATCTCTCTCATAACTGTTTCTCATCCTGCAACCTCCTGTTCATACCAATAGACAATCAAAATTTCACTTTGTGTCTTGAAATCAGGTTCATTGTTTCAGCAGTTCCAGTGACTTTCAGGTGGTTTCTGGTCCAATGGGGACATTTTGGCTGATTTTGTTCCACTGTAGTGGTTATTTCCCAATTTCCCATGGAGTCCTTTATCACACTCAATGGTTTTTTTTCTCCAGGACTGTGGATGACCAAGGTCGACATCTCAAATGCCTATCTCCATATTTATATTTCTCATCAGTCCAGATGCTTTCTTCAGTTTGTCCACTACAGGGTTGTGTATCAGTTTTGCACCTGGTCTTTTGGGCTTGCTTCGGCATTGTATGTATTTTATAGTGTGAACATGGCATTTCCCCAACTTCTGCATGCTCTAGGGTTGTGTTGTAGCATCTTGTGTAGGTTGGGTTATAAGAATGATGACATTTCCTTTTACCTACTCACTATCTTATCCATTTGGATGTATTTTTCCACATCCCCCTCATTCAGGCTCATCCTTCTCCATTTTTATCTGTTCGTTAGTGTTTTCAGTTCTCTGGGCATTTCATGCTTCCTAAGTTTCTGCACAAAATGTTCTATTGCTTTTGAAGACTTAGGCTTCTAAGGAAGCCCTTATTCTTGTAGGTTCTCTTCAGTGTCTTCACAGCCCATGGAATCCTGCTCGGGATCCCGTGGACTCCCCAGTTACACTTTCTCCTTCCCTTACTGTCTATCTGCATTGGTGATTGAACAAGGACAGCACAGTGAAGGGAGTACCACTTCCTGCACCTCGTCTATATTTGCAGCAAGTCACAGATGCTTCTCTTCAAGGTTGGGGAGTGTTGTTCATCAGCAAGAGGATGCTAGGCAATGATCTCGAATCATAATTTCTTACCATTTCATCATCTTGGAGATTAGTTGAGTAAAACATGCTTTAGTTCACTTCCACCATTCTTACCTATTTCAATCACTATGGGGGCAGCCTTTCCTGTTCTCTTTATGGTCAGACATTGGACCTCCTTTATTGGGCCCATACACTGCAGATAAATCTCCTTGTGTGTTATGTTCTAGGTGCTTTTCACCTTGTGGTGCATCGTTTTTCAAGTCCCGACCAGGTTTATCCCATGGAGTGGTTTCTAAACCCTGAGGTTTTCAAGTGGCTATGCATTCTGTGGGGTGCTCCTCATTTGGATACTTTTTGCCACTTTACTCCACTGCCAAATTAGCTCTTTTTGTGGTCTCCAATTCATCATCCTCAGACCCTGGCAGTGGATTTTCTCAGTCAGAATTAGTCCAGCAGGTTCCATTTACATTCCTTCCAGATTTGTTGACTTTCTCATCATTTGGTTATTCCAGATTGATTTTTCCTACTCAAAACTTTATGTATTTATAACATGTGACTGAAAAATCTAGTACTCTAGTAGCAACAATATTACACATAACTAGAGAAACTTGGAAGCTTCGAGTAAGATGAATCAACAATAATACTAAAGCCTAGTACAACTATTAAACTGTATACACAACACATGACTCATACAAAGCTATGTAACAAAACTTGTCATAACTATTAATTTTAAAACAATCAACCTTCAACACTCTTGTTATAAAAACTAAATAATCATTAAATATTAGGTCACTAAATGAACTAAATAATAACTCTTGCACTAAATGGTCTTATATATCCACCAGGCATCCATGCAACTGGTAAACAAACAGCAACTTTATGTACAAATTAAGCAGTCTATTATTTCATAAGTCATTATAATTATACAAGTTCTATAATCAAATGACATGTTATGTTAATATCTTCACGTGTTGTCAAGGCTTGAACTTGGACTTACTTCCTTGTATAAACAAAACACCTTTTATGATGCTGATATTTCTATACATCTTCATTTTGGAGCACTGTGGTTTAACTTGATTGTAATATGAATCACTGATGACCTCTTGATATCTGTTATAGTTTATACGCACATCCACACTATTAAGGTTGTTCTTAGAAAAATTGTCATAAACTGATAAAACAAAGAAAACAAACTGATATAAAAAAAAGATAAATCAGGGATTGAAATATTACATACCTGCATTCCTGAGAAATTAACTTTGCATGAGGAATTTCCAGCTATGTCTATTAAAATTTAAACTTAGTAAGTGTAACTTTAGATTTTATTATTATTTATGATTTATTACACTTGAATCCTATACTGTTTATATATCACTTAATTACAAAACAGTTGTTAGTTTTCTTGGAGTTCATTGTAAACCTTCTTGATTAGGGATAACCTGTTGAAAATATCCTAATTGACAACCCTTGAAAACTGACATTTTTTTATAGATATTAAATATGCATTGTTGTTGTTTTATGTGGAATTGTAATTGAAATTAATTTGATTGATAACACCCCGTCATTTAATGTTTAAAATAATAATGCTGAACTAAATAGCAATCAGTTGTAATGGTAATATTTGTTCTGCTATTTGTCTAAAATTTCATTTTATGTCAATCGACATTACGATACTCGTATGTTGATTCAATAAAGTATCTGCTATCCTATTAAAAGATAAATAAATTTTTATTTCAACTGTTACATTTGTGAGTGTTCTATATTTTTAGGCTCTTCTTACATTAATGCTTGTCCAGCAGAAACCAAAATTCCAATATACCTCATTGTAGCTGGAGTATTTGGTGTTTTGAAGAATGCATTAAATTTTTGGTCAAGGTGTAGGAGGACTGAGGAAGAAGACCAACTTAAGCAGAATCCACAAGATACTATTTTAAACTGTTTCCTTTTTGCTTGGTTCATAGCAGGTAAAAAAAAGTTTAAATTTTTTTCTCCTAATTTGCTCCAGTGTGAAAAGTACAAATTGGTGGTGTATTTATAGCTTAGATTTCTTAAATATCTTATGATAAAAACACAAATTAAAAAGAAACAAAGTATTAATTATACTGTGTGATGTTGCAAGTTTCTTTTATTTATCAGCACACACACACTCTCTATCTCATTTGCATATTTAGTTTTCTTTTAGGAAGGTGTATGGTTGAAAGTTAAAGACGTTTTGTTTTCTTTGTTCTTTATTTACTTCATCTTTACTCTAAAACTTGATTAGGCATATTCCTTATTTAATTAGTCATGTCACATTTGTTTTGTTAGATTTTTATAATGTTATTATTTTATTACATTTTTAATTTCTCTATGGTTTTTCTAGCTCCAGACACCTTGGCACTATGGAACTTGCTCACTTTCTTTCAGTTAATTTATGATGTAAATAGATCATTAACACATACATATTGAAGTTAAGTGTCTTATGGTTCTTGAAGAATGGATTAACACCATCTGCTTATAAAGAAAACATGTACAAACAGTAGTTTGAGTTCAAACCATTATATTAAAAAAAAATCTAAATAATACATTTGCGTGAGTATAAAAAGGCTTATTGAGAAATATTATTTTGTTTTGAATAAAGAAATTTAGAAACAAGTGATTCTGAACCTTTTAGATTATTAAACACTAATGGAATGGATCTAAAGTTTGCTTTGTAGTATTGTGACCTTTTCAGAATCAGTAAGATTTTAATGACTTATATGTTTTCCTTATAAACATGGTTTCAGCTGCTGCTCCCCAAATTACATTTTGTAAATTGGATCATGAATTAGGTTACAAAAAAAACTTATAGATTGATTGGAAAAATGAGAACATGTGACTGCCACCTATGGGCACAATTACAGAATTAAGTTATGTGATTATTGTAATAAACTATTTCATCAAAAAACAATTTATTGCATGTTATTCACTGTGATAATTTTGAAAACATTAATAATGAGAAAATTATCTGTAGCCTAATAACATTTAGGAGCATAAAAGTAGTTCTACCAACATTTTGGAGAAGTTTGAAATTATATTTAAACGTAGAATGTTAGTTCTCGCTTTTACAGTTGAAATTGTAAAAGACATCTGTGGTTCTCAGATTTGGAAACAAACTTCTGGCTTTTGCATTTAGATTTAAAAAGTTAGCAATGGTTTCCATTTTTAAAAGCAAAAGAAAACAGTTTTATTTATCCCTACATTTGAAAGCAAAGATATATATAGTTTTACCCTTCATGATTAGAAACACAAAAATTTCTTTTCCCTCCACATTTGGAAGCATTATTCTTTCCACATACATATTAGCAGAATGTTATCCCTAGTTCTGACATTTGGAAATTCATAGTTGTACGTACTTCTTAAAAACTAATGCCCTAGAATTAATTTATATCTTACTCAAACTTAAAATAATTTCTTGACATATATTCTTTGGGGTTTAATTATCTGCAATAGTTTATTAATAAATTTACATACAAATTGGTTTAATTATACATAAATATTTGCCACCAAAAATAAGGAAATCTAACATTTTGCAATTATGATTATTTAACTCTTTTTATTATCAGTTTTTGAAAGGGGTGGGAGACATGTTCCATGGCTACCAAAAAGTTCATAATTTGTGATTTTTTTTAATTTGAGCAATATTAATTCTAGAAGGCCATTTATACACAAAAAATCCGTTTCATATAACAAAATTAAAGTGGCTGGGACTCTTGTATTTGTAATTAGTTCTTCCTTACCTTTAAGACCACTTAAAATTCCTTTTTTTTCTCGTCAGTTCTAAATTTTGTTATTTTGAGGTAATAATAAACTATCCCAACTTTGTGATGGTATTTGACATACAGTAAAGTGACTACTTATTCTATAATCAAGTTATGTAGTATTTTGTGCTATCTACAAATGTTGTAAAGTTTAATAGCTTTATAAGCACAAATTAAGTAATGAAGAACAAACACAAATTTAAAAAATCATGAAGTTTATTACCCTGACTAGTTTGGACATACCATGTCATAAGTCAAAACTAGTGAGCATAATCAACTTCATATTTTTGTAAATTTGTATTTGTTCTTCCTTATTTAACTTGTTCTTATAAAGCTACTAATCTTTACAATACTTATTCTATAAAGCCTGGCCAGGTGGTTAGGGCGCTCGACTCGCAATCTGCGGGTCGCGGGTTCGAATCCCCGTCACACCAAATATGCTCGCCCTTTCAGCCATGGGAGAATTATAATGTGATAGTCAATCCCACTATTCATTG